TATATATATATATATAAATACACACACACACACACACACGCGCGCACACAGACCGTAGTAAACAGAAAGATGGTCTTCTTCAAACTGCGCTGGAGCTCAGTGATGGCCTGTCTGCAGGATTCCAAGGTGACTGAGAGATCTGCAGCAAGAGATGGAGAGGAGGACTTTAAAATGTGACTCAAGATATATAGACAGACACACACAGAGATGTAATACACCACTTACACACACACACCCAGTGTTACTGAGTAAAGAAGTCACACTGTGAAAACTAAACAAAACAAAGAATAAAACAGAACTGGCTGTTGAACAGAGGATTAGGTGTTTGAGCTGAGACAAAAGAGCAAAATGAAACTGAGACAAAATCCGTTCACAGATTTTATCTTCCAGCAGGACACAAATATAGAATATGTGTATAGTTGTATATATGATAGTATTAGTACATGTCATGGCCTTTACACTTTCAGTGCTTTTAATTTAAAATAAAATATATACAAAATGTGCTGATGTTCATGAAGCAGCAGGGAGATAAATAAACAAACAGCATTTAAAATCTTTACTTAGTCTTTTTTTTTTATAAAATAATGGTAAATATGAGGTTAATCTATTTAAATTCGTTAGAAACAATAACTTTGACATTACGTCTTTAAAGAAACGAACATTGCCTGTCACCTTGCATGGCAAAGTTTTAAACTAAAGTTTAGTGTGAGCTGATGGTGTTCAGAGTATGTGATGGGTGTGACTCTCAGCTAGGCCCGTCGCAATAAACAATAAATCAATTAATCGCACGATAAAAGAAAATGATCAACCTCATTTTCATTTATCGGCTTTATTGTTTCTTCGTGTCTCTCTCTTTCCACTGAAGACACTGGATGACAAAAAGCTCAACTCCGGTGCTCTTCACTGACCCCTCCCTTTCTCTTTTCTCTTTAAAATCTGTTTTAATGATCCAAAATCGCGGTTTTGGATCATTAAAAGCAGCTAAGCTGAGAAGCTAAGCTACGAGCTAAGCTACGAGCTAAGCTACGAGCTAAGCTACGAGCTAAGCTACCAGGCCGACCTCGGGGAAAAAAACTCCGTCTTGTCGAAGCTTCAAAAACAGAGCTTAATTTGTAAACTGATTGATGTCGAAACAGCAGGGTGGTGGTGCACACACTTAATAAAATTATTTTGGAGAGCAACAGCAGGTTGTGTGTGCAGCTCCCCCCACCCCCACCCCTCACTTCACAGTTCTGAGCTGAACTCTTCTCCACTCCAGCTCCAGTCTTGTGGCATTGTTTGAAGCACCTGAAGGATTCAGTTTTCTGTTGTCCAACTAAGGACAATCCATCCATTTTTTATTAAAGTAAATTGGTCTGTCTTTTTGACGTTTTGATCGCTGTTATTTTGACAAAATAGCGCCGTTGTTTTGAAACGTGACGTTTAATGTGAATAACACATCAAACATTTCTTTCTTTGTATTTTTAATAAAAAATTTTTTTTTTTACAGTAAGCTTTTTTTAATTTATTATGTCTAAAATGTAACAGGAGTTCAAACACCTGCTGATATGTGCGCGCGCTGTGTAGAGATTGGATACGTTTCTGTGCGTAACGTGCACTGTCCACAGGGAATTTATTTATTCTGTTAAATAAATGATCGTTTCTGTTTCGGGGTCTGAGAAGAGAAGGAGAGGGGGTGTTATTCAGTGCGCGGCCCCGCAGAGGTGGGACAATATTTTGGACAGGAGGAGGAGACAAGGACTCTGCACAGCACCTCTGTGTGTAAATGTGACTATCTGATCCGGCGTCATCTCCACCCCCCTTCTGCCTATTGCGCCGTGCGTGCTGCAGCTGGAATATCCACAGACTGGGTCTGCCGGACTGAGGGCAACGTCTTCTCTAGTATTTTTTTAAAAATAATAAAAATAAAAATGCACGATGACTTTGGACTTTTAGGGGTGGAGCTGCCGGATCCGAGGAAAGAGTTGCCGGAACAGAATAGGTCAAAATGAAAGAGTTCCCAGATCTTGTTCCGACAGAATCCGGCTCAAATTAACCACTGTCCAAAATTCACGGTTGAAACCCGTACCTTTGTCTAAAAATTTGTTTTTCTCTGCAAAAAGAAGCTGAGAACTTGTTTATTGATTTTTTTTATTAAAAGCTTTGTGTGACAAATGTTATGCGAAAGATTCCGATGCATGCTCAATGCTATGCTTTATATAGCTAAAGAGCTCAAACCACACAGAGCGTCCGCCATTTTGAGAACTGAAAAACAGGAATGAGAGAAAGCCATGTCACATCAAGGGGCCTCCCTCCCATTTTTCTTAAAGAGACATGCTGCTCACTCCCTCACTATCCATCCTTTGGTTCAACCTATTTTATATTGCCATCCAGTGTTCAAAAAATGTACTACACATAAAAATTAACCAACATTTCTTCTTAAATTTGACAATGACTAATTATTGTCTAATTTCAAACAATATTATAGTTTATCGCAATAATTTCGGAGACAATTAATCTTCTTATTATTCTTTCGGCTTTTCCCTCTTCAGGGGTCGCCACAGCAAGTCATCCTCCTCCACCTCACTCTGTCCTCTGCACAGCACCTGTCCTCTGCATCCTCTGTCCTCACTCCAACTATCTTCATGTCCTCTCTAACTGCATCCATATATCTCCTCTTTGGCCTTCCTCTGTCTTTTTCCTGGCAGCTGCATTTCTAACATCCTTCTACCAATATACCCACGGTCCCTCCTCTTGACATGCCCAAACCATCTCAGTCTGGCCTCCCTAACTTTATCTCCCAGTTGTTCAACCTGTGCTGTACCTCTGATTATCTCATTCCTAATCTTATCCAGTAAAAATGGGCATCAGCACACTTCTTCTCCATTCCTGAGGCATTTTCTCACCCTCAAATATGCCATTGAATATTTGAGTCAAAAACCTCACTGCCATCTCTCCAAGACATTTCCAAACCTCCACTGGTATGATTCTGATGGTATGATTACCATACCATCAGGTCCTACTGCCTTCCCCTTCTTCATTCTTTTCAGAGCTTTCGGGACTTCACCCTCACTAATCTTTCCCACTTCCTGGTCCACAGTTTCTATGACCTCTACTCTTCTTTCTCTTTCATTCTCTTCATTCATTAGCTCCTCAAAGTACTCCTTCCATCTCCCCGTCACACTCTCCTCACTTATTAAAACATTACCATTCCTATCTTTAATAAGCCTAACCTGCACATCCTTTCCAGCCTGATCCCTCTGTCTTGCCAATCAGTACAAGTCCTTCTTGACCTCTTTAGTGTCCAGTCTCCCATACAACTCATACACCCTCTGCTTTGCCTTAGCTTCTTCCCTCTTTGCTCTACGTCCCATCTACTTATATTCCTGTCTCCTCTCTTCAGTCCGCTCACTGTCATATTTCTTCTTACCATACCATACCATACCATACCATACCATACCATACCATACCAATTTATTTATAGAGCACTTAAAACAGCAACAAGGCCAACCAAAGTGCTGTACAAAAGAAAACAAACATGCACAGCGGACAGGAAAACATAAAATAGAAATACAGATACAAATAGCAGCAGAAGCTAACTAAAATGGCCAACAGAGTAGAGAACAGACCGGACCAAAACAAATCACACCGTGTTAAAGGCAAGAGAATAGAAGTGGGTCTTCAAGCGAGACTTAAAGACTGAGAGTGTGGGAGCCTGCCGGACACTCAGTGGCAACTCATTCCACAGTCGTGGACCTGCAACAGAGAAAGCCCAGTCACCTCTGAGCTTACGACGGGTTTCTGGGCCTTCTTGGCTAACCTCTTTCTTTGAACGGCGTCCTGCACTTCACTATTCCACCACCAGGTTTCCTTATCATCCATTTTCTGTCCAGATGACACACCAAGTCCCTTCCTACCGGTCTCTATAATTACTGTTGCTGTAGTAGCCCAGTCATTTGGAAGCTCTTTCTTACTACCCAGAGCCTTTAACAGCTCCTCTCTGAATTTCTCACAACATTCTTCCTTCTTCATCTTCCACCATTTGGTCTTCTTCTCTGATTTTACTATTTTTCTCTTCTTCACAACAACAGTCATTTTATACACAACCATCCGATGCTGTCTGGCCACGCTCTCCCCTGCCACAACCTTACAGTCCCCAATCTCCCTCAAGTTTCCTCTTCTACACAGAATGTAGTCGACCTGCGTACTCCTTCCTCCACTCTTATAGGTCACTCTACGTTCCTCCCTCTTTTGGAAATAGGTGTTGACTATAGCCATTTCCATTCTCTTGGCAAAATCCACCTCCATCTGTCCTTCCTGGTTTCTTTCCTTGACACCAAACCTACCCATCACTTCCTCATCCCCTCCGTTTCCTTCACCAACATGTCCATTCAGGTCTGCTCTGATCACCACTCTCTCCTCCCTGGGAATACTCTCTATCACTTCATCCAGATCTTTCCAAAAATTATCTTTCTCCTCCTCATCACATCCAACCTGTGGGACATAACCACTAACAATGTTTAGCATCAGACCTTCTACTTCTACCTTCAGGCACATCACCCTATCTGACACTCTTTGCACCTCTACTACATTCTTTGCCAACTCTTCCTTTAGGACCACACCTACCCCATTTCTCTTTCTATCCACACCATGGTAAAACTGTTTGAACCCTGCTCCAATGCTGCGAGCCTTGCTGCCCTTCCACTTGGACACAAAAAACATCTACCTTCCTTCTCTGCATCATGTCAGCCAGCTCTCTACCTTTGGCTGTCATTGTCCCCACATTTAGAGTTACAACCCTCATTCCTACATTCTTCACTTTCCTCTTCTCCCTCTGTCTCCTGACACGTTTCCCTCCTTGTGGTCTTTGACTAACAGTAGCACAATTTCCGCCGGCACCCTGTTTGTCAACAGCACCGGTGGCGGTCGTTGTTAACCCGGGCCTGGACCGATCCGGTATGGTTTCACTTTGATGAACTAGCATTATTGTTTTGGCAAAAGTGTTTTACATCGGATGCCATTCCTGATACAACCCTCACCATTTACCAGGGTTTGGGACCGGCACAAGAGATAAATTGGCTTGTGCTCCCTAGTGGCTCGCCCAGCCAAATTTGTTATCATGACAGGCCTATTCTCAGCTACTACGACACCAAGCTTTAGATCATTGTCTGAAAAATGGGTTGAGTTGTAGCCATCTTGATTAACTGTACCAGCCATCTCAAATCAGAATGACTCCAAAAGTTATTCAGTTGTAGATGGAGATAATATAATTTCCTGAAAGCTCATAAAAATTTCTGCACTCGTTCATGAGATATTTTGCTAACAGTCAGACACATACAGACAATCACATTAAGTGATTGCCTGCCTTTCATAGTATTGAATAATAATAAAAACTAGAGAAATTGTATTTCTTGCAAAAATGCAGTGTAAATGCTTATGGTTGAACAAATGTTGCAGAATGAGTTAGATGCCAAAAAGGAACTCAGCAATGCTTTATAAGCATTCACAGAATAAATGAGGTGATGTGAGAGCTGAATGAAAAGAGGCAAAAGAAAGAAAAAGTGCAGATTCTCTGAAAAATTGTCTAAGTATAATTAGAAATTAGTTCAAGTGGAATCACGACGATACTTAGAGAAAAACAGACGGACAGACCAGAAGTTTCCGATCAAGCAACTAAAAGAGAGTTCTGGGAGGTCAAACCTGACTGAGCTTGGTTCTTTTCACGCAGCAGAGGGCGCTCCTTAGCCACCTGACCTTCCTCTCTGAAAATAAATGTTAGAAAATAGAAGTCCGTTACGATAATAGTGTCTGATCTGATGTATGATGTTGACAGATTAACACAGAGCTGTTGTTTTATTAAATACATATTCACAGCTGTTTATTTCTTTTAAAAAAGTACCTTTCAGAATCAGAGTTTCTTCTTTGCGTCACAGACATGGAGCCTGGCACTGCAGGATCAAAAGGCAGAGAGTGATGCCTGCATCGTGCTGAAAACGACAAAATAAACAAATAAATACACACCTGGAGTTAGAAATGAAGCTCCTCGGATGTGATGCATCCTGAGAATACCGCTGTCTTACCTTGAGTTTTTCTGGTAGAAGGTGAAACATCAGAACCAACGTCCACTACAGAAGCAGAGGTCCTCAAAGGAGAGCCTGAGCAACTCGGGCTTGGCTTCACGTCCAGGTTCAGGCTGCGCCGGGCGCTGACAGGTTGCTTCAGCAGCGGGATGCGAGAAGGAGGGCCATTCTGGGTCAAATGGGATGGCAAAGCTGTGACTATGAGGTGAGAGAAAGCTGAGGATGATGATGTTGGGAACTTGACGAGATTTGGAGGCTCCGCCTCCTCTGATGACCTCCTATTCCGTGGGGAGCGAGGTGGAGATCCAGACTGGAGATCGTCGCTCAAAGAGGAGGAGGACGACCGGCTGCTTTTGGCCATGGAGCTCGCAGTGGGGTTCATGTAGGAGCGCTGGGGCTTCAGTTTGGGGCTCTCCCATGCTAAGGGGGACTGGGGGGAGCGTGGCGACCCAGAGGAGGAAGTGGAGAAGTTAAAGGTAGATCTAGGAGTGACATTTGTCAGGGGTATGTGCTGGGGTCTCTTGTAAGCCTCCTTTTGGACACAAGAGGGCAGAGGCGAGCGAGAAGCTGGAAATCAAACAATGAGAAGAAGAGTACCAGCATTGTTTATGTAAAGTTTTAACTAAATTAATTAGAAGCGCTTAAACTAATACACTAATTATTTTGGCATATAGAAGATAACTTAAGATGGTACTTTATGTTTAAATACATTCAACAACAATAAAATCAGAGCTAAATGATACAGAAGCTTGAACAAACCTATTGGTAAGAAGAATACTGAACCACAGTGAAACTTACGGTCTGTATTCAGGTTCTGTGCAGACTGGGATTTCTGTAAACACGCTGCTCTGTCCAACATGGCTGCAGCTTTAGGTGGAGGGTTCGACATCCTCCAGTGGTTGGACCCTGGGGTCATCTTCTTCACAGGTCGACGTTTCAGAGGAGAATTCTTCTCTGGAGCCCTGCTGAGATGCCACAGCTCAACATCAAGCTCTACATGTTTTAAAACATAAAACTTGTTTTTGTAAAAAGGCTGTCAATGTTACAAAGCCAAAGTCCACACCAGAAATAATCAATCATCGCTGCATGAGACGAGCACACAAGAAGCACACAAACACAGTGTTCTAGTGTTGTTGGGAAAAACCTGCATTAATGACCACCCAGGACTGTGGAAGGCCCAAATGGTCAAAATTAAATAAGTAAATAAAGCATTATGAAATAAGTATCTAAGCTCATTATTATTAAAAAAATGTTCCTTTTTATTCTTTTATTTCATAATTGCGTTTTCCATGATAGCTTATTTACAATGGTGGAAAAAGTACTCAAACAATGTAAAGTAAAAGTACAAATAAACAGACAAAAATGTACTCTAGTAAAAGAAGTACCACATTAATACTTTTACTTAAGTAAAATTAAATAAGTACTTGCTTTTAAAAATACTTAAAGTATTAAAAGTAAAAGTACTCACTGAATGTATTACCTAATGCAATGGATTACAATATCATTAAGTGTGTCTACCATATGTATATTTTCTTTAATACATTAATAGTGTTGAGTCATTTTAATGAACAACACTGCAGATAAGGTTTTTAATGTGTTTACTCTGTGACACAGTTCACACTTGGACTTGTGATTCTGTGCGTCAGAACTCAGAATTAGTAATTTTATTTATTTATTTTTTTGCTTTGCTGCTCTGTCTGTCTGTGAAACTGCTTCTGAGACTCTCTTGCATATCTTCCGAACCATAATTATGGACTTGTTTTGATCCTTTGGTCCCTCAACTCAATTTACAACATTTCTTCTAAGAGAAGGCAGGCTTAAGGCGAGCCGATTTGCCCTGTTGGCACGCACGCAGCTGGATATCTCATTGACTTGGAAGACTTGAAGCTGCTAAAGTAACCTGAGCTGAACGAAGTTCATGCAACCCTGCCATCCTTCATAACTGCTGACCTACAGTAGCAAGTTGTTGCTAGCTGCTATGGCTAGCTGTAACTGCAGTGAGCAGAAAAACGAATGTCTAGTGTCTAGCGTAAATCTTTTAGTGCACAGTTTAGCATTCATTTAGTGTATATCTTAGTGTATTTCTTAGATCCTTATATACTGTTTCTTTTTATACTTTATATTTTTGGATTTAACTGGGAACTTGAGTACACAATTTCGTTCCACCTCATGTATCACATGTGATGAAAATGACAATAAAGAGACTTGAACTTGAAATAAAGTGTAAATTAAAAAGTCAGATAAAAAACTAACACTCTGAAACAACTTGGGAAATGTTTTTCTCTATGTGTGGGAACAGCATCTTCACTGCTCCAGATGGTTTTTAAACAGGAAATTTAATTTAGTATTCATAATTTATATTTTGTCTACGTGTTTCAACTAAAAGAGTGCAACTCCGACCACTTGATAATGAGAACATCCATATTAAGAACATTAAAATACAGAGAAAGAACATGCTTAGCTTGGTTAAAGTTTGTCCCTAAACTAGCCTTTACAAAATTTCCCTGAGTTAAAAACAACTTCAGCTCACGAGAAATGTTTAATGGCAACAGGATCTGGATTAGGTGAGAACATCACAGAAAAAGCAGCAGGAACATGTTTACTGTTGTTTGAGTTTCTAGGGTGGAAAACTGATTTGGGGCAAGCACTATTTTTTTAAACAGATTTAACTATTTCCCCACAAAAAAACTGATGAAATTGTGTTTTTAAAAACACCACAAGTACTGTAGATGAGGCTAAAACATCTTTCTTTTATTTTTGTTATCTTTATTAAATATTAAATCTACAAGGAACATTATTTTCCACAGTGTCAACAACAACAACTAAACTCCTTTTTCGTCCCGCATGGGTGGAGCTACATAACTTCCATGTAAGCTTATTAATATTTTATAATCACTCCCTTCATCATTTCATAATTCTTTTTTGAACCTTTTAAAAATTTGCATTACTTCTATGAAATATATATATATTTTAAATCTGTGTTTTATTACCTCTCATTTTTGGAGGGAGACGAGGGGATCCCGTCCCCTGCCTTTCCGCTCTCGCTGTTTCCCGTTAACGGACGTACTTTTGACACCAGAGGATTGGTAGATTTTTCATCTTGTTCCTTTGTGATCACTTCATCAAATGAAGGCACAGTTCTGCACAGAGATGAGAGAGAAAAGCAGTTGTTGCCCTCGGTGTGTGAAAATGAGCAGAACTTTGCTCATTTGGAAATTTATTCCAAGAGCCTAACTGGCTTAAACTGTGCACACAAGATAACGTACACTAATTATTGAGCTTTAGAGGTGCTGCTCTTTGGTGCAGCTGCTCAGTACATCTTTACATTTAGCTGTGTGAGAGTACGATGAGGTACAGACTCACTGAACTTTTCTAAAGCTTTTGAAGGTGCAATTTCAGGTTTTGCACATCGTCTAATTCACAAAGCTCAGTCAAAATGAGCATTACAAACTCTGACATGACACAGCATATCCTTGCTTTGGTGCAGTTTGTCCCCATTTAAATGAGGTAAGAGATAATATTGATGCATACATTAGTCCCTCAATACTTTGCAGTTCCACTTTCGTGGACTCACACTTTCATGGGACTTCAACCTAAGATTGTACACGACACACGATTGGTGATGGGGAAAGACACACAACAGGTGTTGTGTGTCTCTGCTCTGCTGTAACAGACAGGCTCAGAAAGAGAAAGGAGGGGGCAGGGGTTGGGGCCTGTCTTTCCCCATCACTACTGTTTAGTCTGTAGGCGCTAATACCTGAGTGGATGGATTGTTTATTTTAAATAATCAAGCGCGACCCAAACCGAGCCTTTGGTCCAGGCCCTTGGTGATCACTGAGCAGGCCAGGCCACCAGGAAATGTACAGGTGCTCCCGATGGCCAGTCCATTCCCGGATTGGCTCAGTAATCATAGCATCAGTCTGTCTGCTCGCTTTCGCTGTGCTCTTTTAGAGAGTTTAGAACATTGTTAAGAATATTGCAAGAGTGTGGGAAGGGTTTATAAAGCCTTAAAATATTTATAAATACTAAAATAAATATAACGTCCCTTCTACGTGAATTTTAACCTATAGCAGGGGTGTCTAGAATGTAACCCCCGCGATAAGTGAGGGACTACTGTAGTGATGTCACTACATATGGCATAAGGTCCGTAAAGGCCGTAGCGTGTGACTTGTCAAGCTTCCAAACATATGATTCCTTTTGATCCATTCAGATGTTCTTCATATAGATAAGAGGTGTCTCTGTACCTCTCCTGTTAAAACCTGGAGCTCATTATGACACAAACATTTTTCTCTTTCTGTCTGTCACTTTTGTGTCTGTTTGCATCAGGTACAAAAGTGACAGAAAGGCAGAACAATTGATGGGAGCTAACAACAAAGACAACACAATAATAGTGAATCTGGGCCTCAGTCTTATAATTTATTTATAAAAAAAAAGAGAAATGGCATTTTCCATAAAATGTCATGTGAATGCAGAGTGTGGCATAGAGTTGCATTCGGGCCCAAAAAATCCGATCCGGCCCCAGCCCGCAGTCATAATTTTCGAACCCCACCCAACCCGACGAATTAACAGTAATTACAGGTCCGAACCCAGAAAAAAAAAAAAAAAAAATTTAATTAGTTATTAACAGTCGAGGACGCGCAGCTGAATAAACGAGGTAGAAGATTCATAACTGAGAGGGAGTTTGTACTTTCATGGCCATAAAAAAACATTTACATCCCGTTTCTGCCTGCATTCAACTGAATTACTGAGACACGCAGACAGCTCTGACACACATCTGCTTGGGGATCTCACCTGTTTGGATCATCGGCCGCGCGCGTCCGCAGAGTGCAGCGGCAGAATGAACGTCCATTTGGGCGATGGATGGCTGCCTGTCAGTATAGTCCCATCTGAAGCTTAACTGAACTTTTTACCTCTTTCAAGGCCGGTCAGCTCGTGATGAAATGGTCGCGTACGGCTGGTGAATGTATGGCAAGCCATGTTATCATATAATTTGATCACGGCTGATCCTGACCTAATTAAAAGCCTGAGACCGGCTCGGCCCACCCAATAATCACATTATAACGGCCCGAGTCAGTCCGGGCCAGTTTTCGGGTTCGGGTTAGAAATGACAGTTCTAGTGTGGGATGGCTTTACAGAAATATGCTAAAGAAGCTGAATTTGAGTTGTTAAAGCTAAAAAAACAGAAGACTAGTTAAAAGCCAAAATTAGCAAAATGCTAATTAAATCAGAAAACCACAAGCTTAAAGTGAATGTATCAGAAGGCTTGCTGCTGAGTTAGCACTTACACAGAAAGCTAGTATGCATATTTCTTCCTATCTCTAACTAAAAATGGCATTTTCTTTAGTTTAATAATGTTAAAAAAGAGAAAAATCCCACATTGATCTGGTGACTTTAATCAGAGTGACAGCTTGACCAGAACAGGACGATTCTCAGATGGTTGAACATGTCAGTGTCCACAAAGGTTTATTAATACAGTCATGAGTGAAAGCTGCACCTGCTGTCAGCAGTACCTGTTACCTGGTATTATACCTGTTACCTGGTATTGTACCTGTTCTTGTGCTCTTTGGACAGGAAGCATGAAGACATACTGAGTCTCGGGGCTCTGCTCTGCTCAGCTGCGGAAAAATATCAAAGACAGAAACAAAAAGCGAAAGTGAGGCCAAATCAGTAATGTCTGTACTTGGATGTGAGGTCCTGTAAAGAAATGGCGATATTCTTCCAGTTAGAGGCTTCAGTTCAGTCTCATAGAGGGGATCTTCAGAACAAACTGTCTGGTTAAAGGAGGTATAACTGAGTAGGTTGTTTTTTTACCGGTGCTGCAGCTCTCTGCCAGGGTCTCAAAGTTCTGCCGAAGGAAGTCTTCCTGCTCGTGTTCAGGATCGCTGTTCACTCTCCTCAAAGCCTCGTCTAAACTCGTCACTGCTGCCGGCCTCCTCTCTGCCTCGTCTTTACTCTCATCATCAGAGCTGCCCACACTCGGAGACTCATCATCTGCAGAAGGCAGAACCAAAACCAAGAAGCTGAAGCATGACAAAAAGGTATTCTAACAGAAACGTGAGGCTAAGAAAAATCAAAAGGCAAACTAAAAGTTAAAGTGACAAATGGGAAGCTTAGCTAACAGCTAAAAGAAGCAAAAGACTAAAAGCTAACGTGTCAAAGGGATACCTAAAATTATCTAAAAGCTAAAAGTAGAAAATCGCTGATAAAAGGTTAGAGGAAGCAAAAGGCTTGAAACAGATTTTAAAAATAAACTATTCTGAGGGAACTTGTTTGGAAATAAATATTTTGAAAAGTTTCAACGTTTCAGAAACCAAAGGTCAAAGCTCCCATCTGCTGAAAGTATAAGAATGACAAAAATAGCACCAAGTAGTTGGATTACAAAAACAGAGGACGAAATATAAAAGAGGAGAACCAAAGGGAGTTCCACCGGACCTTCAGAGTGTGACCTCACCGTGCAGGATGTGGTCCGGGCCGGACTCGGTGCTGTCGTAGTCCAAGGAGCATGCGCTGTCTGGGCTGCGGCTCTCCTGGCTCTCGGTCCGCATCCTTCGCCCCATAGCACCGCAGTCCTTCACCGTGTAATCCCTGATGTCCACAAACGGGGACAGGACAGCAATGAGACGTGTCTGATGTAAAAAGACCAGTTGGAGCAGGAGGTGGGCTACCTTTCTGCTGGTCTTGAGTCGTCCTCGTTTCCCTCACAGAAGCGTGCCGCTGCATCTGTCTCCTTGGCACACTTGACTGAGGACAGCCAGCGTCTTTGTCTCCTGGACTTCTCGTCTGTCTGCTGCAGCAGAAAAACAAAAGGACACGGATGATTTTAAATCCATCCACATAGTTTCCTGCTTTTTATGTAAAACTCTTCTTACCACAGTCTCTTGGAGGCTGGAGACGCTCCGTTTGTCATCAGTGGACAAACTGGGGCTCCTTTTCTGTCCAAATGTCTCCACCTGTCTCAGGTCCAGCATGGACTTTATCATCACTTCTAGGGAGCCCATACGGCGAGACCAGCACCTCCGGGGACGCTTCGTGGCATCAGGAGGGACCTGGGTGACGGCTCCATCCTAAACACACAAGATCAACCAGTGACATACATGGTACTGTGAAAAAGTTTTAAACCATCCATCATGTCTTCGGGGTTTGCTTCCAAGCAGCCAGACCTTCTAGAGGTCTTTCTTTCAGCTCACTGATGTTTGAGAATCACCTCGTTGGTGGTGAAATATTAGTTTGATTCATTGATTCAAGAAATTGTAACAAATTGTCTAAAAAGTCTATTTAAAGACATATTTATGTTCCGTTTTCCGTGTTGACACAATACTGGTTCATCCCTTGAGTTTGAGACTTTTTTTAAACTAATGATTTGAAGGTTAGAGTTAAGTGTCTTTATAAACCAACAATGAAAACAATCTGAGAATGTCTGTAAATGAATAAAATCTCAGCCGAAGTCCAAAGAAAACATTGAAAGACCTCCAGAAATCCTAAAGAACTTCTGATCAAGACCAATTTAAATGATTTAAAGAAAGTCTGACACCATGTCACATGAGAGAAAAACTTTTGTACATTGTATTTATTATTTTTACTGTATGTTTATATATTACAGTATATTATAATTGTGCTTTTCTCCTTGTTCGTTCCAATAAAACAGATTTTAAGCACAACATAGCAGATATTCAAATTAAACAATTCTGTAAACTAAATGGAAAAGTTCACAGAACAGTTTTAAAAATGTGACAGTGATGCAAAAATGACTCTTTTTTTAATCTATTTTTCATTATTGTATGAACACTGATTCAGAAAGGAAACTTTTTTATTTAGGTTGAATTACAAAATATTTATGTATATGAGTAAATGAGTGGGAATATTCCTCTGAAAACTTTACTTTAGTTGTTCATAGATCAAAACATTCAGGAAGATAATTTTGTTTTATGCAGCTTTTGTACTTTTCAATATATTTAACTTCATTCACAAATATTTCTCCTACATGTCCATCCATCCATTATCTTTTACCCGCTTCTTCCATTTTGGGTCACGAGGGTCGTCGGTGACCATGTCCACCAGTCACTGTGCGAGGGGCGGGGTGCACCCTGGACAGGTCTCAAGTCCATCACAGGGACACATAGAGACAAATGAGACAAACAACCATTCACTCTCTCACTCACACCTAGGGACAATTTAGAGTTACCAATCAGCCTAACATGCATGTTTTTGGTCTGTGGGAGGAAACCGGAGCACCCGGAGAAAACCCACGCATGCACAGAGAGAACATGCAAACTCCACCCAGAAAGGCCCCCAGACCGGGATTTGAACCAGGGACCTGCTCTTTTATATATATATATATATTTTTTTTTTTTTTTTTTTTTACACTAGCCTACTGCTAAATTTAAATTTTACTTATCCTGATGCATGCTCAATAATCCAGCTTGAGGACCTGACTTAACTTTTTTCGATAAATTCTCCTTAGTTTTCTGAGAATTTTAGTGAGCCTTTTGATGATCTTTTAGCTGTGTGCTAGATTTTTGGTACTTTCGGATAGAGTTCTACTTTTAGCTCTTAATCAGCTGTTTGCTTCTTTTAGTTTTTAGCTAGTCCTTTGATACTTCTAGTTAGCCTTTTTAAAATTTAGCTACTATTTTGCTGCTTCAGTAAGAATGTTGATACGTTTGGTTTTAGCTCATGTTCTGCTTCTTTTACAGCAGCTTAAACAGCTGAGTTTCAGCTCAGCGTTCACACTGCAGCTTCACAGAAAAAGTACTTTCTTTTATCTTAGTGTTTAGATTTTTAGCAGTCTTACCTTAGTCAGCTCTGCAGCCTTTTCTTCATCTGAACCTGACATTGGAGGAAATATTACAATTAAAGCTTTAACAAAAATGATGGATTTTCTTTTGTCAGGTTTAGCTGCACCTGACGTGAAACTAAAATACCAGGAAGTGAAGCAGATCATGCCAACATCCCCTGGTTTCCTTTATGTTTCACTTTATGGGCGCTCTCTGTTGATGTAATCACAGTACCTGTGTTCTCCTCCCTGCAGCTGCTGTCAGAAGAAGTTTTACTTATGTTGTCATCAGCGTTATTCTCCACTCTGTCCTCCTCCTCCTCCTCCTCCTCCTCCTCCTGCTCCCGGTCGCTGTCAGAGGACAGACCAACCATAGCAGGAGCACTGTACACCTCCCGCCTACAGCAAAGCAGAAAAAGTCCAAACCACGAGCTCTGAGTGTGAACCTATTTGTTTCAGGACTGGTTCTTGCTGTGAACGTTGACAATAAGCGGCTGTGCGTCGTCACCTGATGCCGGGGGACTCGCGGGGCGCTGAGTTTGTGTTTTGTTGGAGCTGGTGCAGCCTCTCCCTCATGGCGATAGTTAGTTCTGGAGCGAGTCGCCACACAAAGACACAACTGGAGAAACGAAAGCAAACAAGCATTAAATATTTAAAGTTTTATTTCAGTGATGATTGAGGAAACACATTTCCACAGTCATTTCCTCTAATGTAGACCCAAGATTAATTTCTCATACAAGTTTATTTTCTCTCTAAAGCTACTAAAATGATTCACATTGAAATATTTATTGTGTCTATAGAAAGTAGCGTGAGTTATATTGATTCTTGGTGCTTGATTGCTTTTATCTGAGGCCTTGAACACTCAAATTAGCAGGATGCACAGAGGATGTGTGTGATGGGACCAGAGGGCTATAAATTTTTAACTAGTTTGGACTCCAAGAGGCCATATTACTTAAGCACTATGAAAACCAACGAGTCCTGAGCAGCATTAAAGGGTCGATCTGTATCCTAAATGTAAAAAAAAAAAAAACATGTCTCTTTTGTAAATGAGTCCTTGTGGCTCAGTGAGACTAATAAATAAAGGCTGAATGAATGAACTTCAACAATAACAAAAAGGTTTGTAAGCTCAATTATCCAGGTAAATAACAACAGAAAAGGATTTCCTTCACAGCAGTGAAAGCTACCTATGGGACAGATCTAGTTGGCAGGCGACAGACTGACGAAGTCCTCTGGATGGGGGACAAAACATTCCTCACTTAAAGAAACTGGTCCAGATGACATCAACAATGCAGTTCGAAAGAGTTTACTCCAGTAGATTTGCAGAAATACAGATATGCGATTATGAAATGCAGGTTCCCCCCTAATGTAAACGACACACCTTTAGCTGCATGCTCAAAAAATATGAGCGTAAATGTACCAAGGATTTTGCCATTGTTGACCTATTTTATAGTCATTTCGGCTGTTTTCTGTAAGTGAATAAATGCACATGGTTGTTGGCATCCAGTCATGAATTATGCTTCCAAATTCATAATTTAAGAACACAAAAAACATCAACATACAATCTATCTATCTATCTATCTATCTATCTATCTATCTATCTATCTATCTATCTATCTATCTATCTATCTATCTATCTATCTATCTATCTATCTATCTATCTATCTATCTATCTAT